GCCAGCCCCACGACCAAGGGATTAAAGTTCCACGTACTCCACTTCAGTGGCCCAGGTTTGTGGGTTTGGATCCTGGATCTGGACCTATTCTACTCATCAGCCATGCTGTGGAAGCATTGCATATACAAAAATAGAGGAACACTGGCACACATGTTAGCTCAATGTCAATCTTCCTCAAACAAAAAAAGATACCTGTAACATTGGCAACAGATGTTATCTCAGGGCAAATATTACTTAGCAAGACAATAAAATAAAATAAACTTGTTCTAGAAATGAACATTATAATTGGGTTGATGGCACAAATCAAAAGTCAGACACTCAAAGGAGTGGCCACAATTATGGGACTTAATTCCAAGTACAAATATTTCATGATGGATCACTCTTTCAAATTAAGAAGGAAAGAATGAGCTTATGGTTTTGATTAAGATACTAAGGATCAGTTTCCTCATAGTTGAAGATCTTTGTCAAAAGTTTCATTGTGCAAAGAGAGTTTTTTAAAAAATCTGGTATCCTAATATAAATTACTTCATCAGACACTTTCCTGAGAGTAGTTTTTGATTTGGAGGAACATAAGGTATATTTCAAGTGGGCTCAGGAGAAGAAAGCTTACCAAGCGAGAGGAAAAGATGTATAAGGGAAATTTGCATCTGTTTACTCTATCATAGTCTGTGCTTTGGCCACTTACAACTTTCAAGACAGTGTATTGAAGGATTGAAGAGGAACACAATGAGATACGTAAACCTTCCAAACTTTTTACTTGCATATAGTCCCTTTCAAAATTATCTTGAAAAGAAAGATGTAGATAAAAAGTTTTCTTCTTAGAAGTGAAGGCAGTGATAGTATTCCTTTCTAAGTTTGAAAAAAGAGAAATATTCATTGAAATAAATTAAATTTCAAAGTTAAATCATCATTGACTTAGCCAGGACAGAAATAAATTGAATGAAGTGTTACTGACTGTCCACTACTCTTGTTGTCTAAAATTATATCTCCTTCCCTCCTATGAATCTCTAGTTTGTTACAAGAACAAAGGAGTTTTCAGGTGCTTGGATAATACAAACTCTACTGGAGATTACAACCATCATCTGATCCTACATGAACTGCGTGGTGTCCTCCCAAAATCACTTTACATCACAGATGTAAAATGTTTAGGTTAAACACTTGAATTATGAAAACAAGAACTGTTGAGTTATAACACCCCTCTTTCATGTTTATGCAACCTTAGGGACTTTGGGTCCTCTAAGGGATGTCTTTCAGAAATGGGAAAAAGGAAAAAATAGAAATAAGGATATTTGAGATATTGCCAACTATTAAAGAATATTCACTTCTCTACATTCGTATTATCAAATACTAAATATCATAGCACCACAAGGTAACATCATATTATTTAGAGGATATAAGTACTTCCTGTTTCTCTTTTCAAGCTCTAACATCTGGAAATTAGCATCCAGTGAAGGGACACATAATATATATTAAAAAGTAGACATTTCTAGAATTATGTGTAACAAATATACAATGATAAATATATGTGTAAAGAAGGTATTCTTCATGGGTTGGGGCTGGGGTTTAGTTTTCCATTTATATTATGAGCTTCCAAAAGTAGTCAGATATATCCAAAATCCCAAGAGATACACCATCCAAACATGGATGTCAATTTATTAAATATGGAAAAACAATTAATTTAATAATAAAATGGAGCCACATTACAAACTGTGGAACAAAATGTTGAGGTAAGTAAATAAGAAGCAACAGCTAAAATGCCCATGATAAGGAACACTTATTTTTCTTAAAATATTCCATAACATCATATATCACACTATATGTTACACATACAACCCTGAATTAATTCCCTTATATTTTGCAGATGAACCATTTCACACTCCTTCTTCTCATTCAAGAAATCATGCAGCTGAATAATAATGCAACTGAGTTCATTCTGCTTGGGTTAACCCAGGAGCCTGTTAGGAAGAAAATAGTGTTTGTCACTTTCTTACTTATCTATTTGGGGACTTCGCTGGGTAACTTTCTGATTATTGCTACCAACAAGACCAGCCGGGTACTTGGAAGTCCAGTGTACTTCTTCCTTTTCCACTTATCTTTATCTGATACCTTCCTCTCTACATCCATAGGCCCTAGAATGGTTGTGAATGCCCTTTTGAAGAAGACCACTATCTCTTTCAATGAGTGCATGATCCAAATCTTTTCATCACGTTTCTTTGGCTTCCTGGAGATCTTCATCCTAATTATCATGGCTGTTGACCGCTATGTGGCCATCTGTAAGCCCCTACACCACACGATCATCATGAGCCATCAAGTCTGTGGTGCATTGGTGACTGTAGCCTGGGTGGGGTCCTGTGTACATTCTTCAGCTCATATTTTTATGGCCTTGAGTTTACCCTTCTGTGGTCTCAATGTGATGGATCACTATTTCTGTGACTTGCAGCCTTTGTTGAAACTTGCCTGTACAGACACCTATGTGGTCAATCTACTGTTGGTGTCCAACAGTGGGGCCATTTGTACAGTGACTTTTGTCATGGTGATGTTCTCCTGTGTTATCATCTTGCATTCTCTGAGAAACCACAGTGCTGAAGGGAGGAAAAAGCCCTCTCAACCTGCATTTCTCACATTATCATGGTCATCTTGTTCTTCGGTCCTTGCATATTTATATACACACGGCCTGTAACCACCTTCTCCATGGACAAGATGATAGCTGTGTTTTATACAATTGGAACACCTTTGATTTATACACTGAGAAATGTAGAAGTGAAAAATGCCTTGAGGAAAACATGGAACATGAAGTTGATCTCAGGTAACAAATGATGAATAGAAGTTTCAAATTTTCTTTATCATTAGGATTGATCTAAAAAGTCCATAGAGAATATTATCCTCTTATTGCAGAGTTAACATTATCCTAAGGTGGGGCATAGGAATTAGTTTCTTCAAGAAGATAGGAAATATGAACACATATACTGATTAGCATTGAGTCAATTTTCTATAGAAAAAGAGACGGCCCCAGGTAGGAACCGTCATGTAAGACATATGCTTTACTCTGCCTCTCTTGCCTGCCTAATAGCACTGTGTTGTGATCTAGCATTATCTCTGCCTTTCCTCATATTGATTCTTTGTGTTCTCTATTTATGCTTACACTTCTATATGCTTATATCCACAGCCTGGCAAGGTTTCCTCCAAACTGTTCATTTATTAAATACTGTGGGATCATAATGTCTATCATGAACCTTCAACTTGGTTGTTCTTCCTGACTCAAAGAAAGCACCAGATTTAAATAATTATAGAAGCTTCATGTTGTAAAGGACAAGGCATGTAATGTAGATAATCTCTCTTCTATGTCCTGTGGTTATACTTTGAATTATTATCATATGTTTACTAAGATCCTTCTAGAAGAGTGACAGAACACTGTGAGAACAGTCACCCTTCTGAAGGAGTCTTTTTTATCTTAGGAATGTTCTGATTATTTAGGTTATACTCAATATTATTCTGTTTGTAAAAATTACTTTTTGCTTCTAAAATGATCCATTCTAATTTTGGGGAAGTTTTAAGTTTTCTCTTGAGTCATCCAAATTATAATAATTTGTTCATAAGATCAGGTTCTTATGATTATGGCATAGACGGCCCAAATTAATATGGATATATTTATATGGCCTAGAAGAGTATATGCAATTGATAGTAGGGAACTTGAAAATAAGAATTGATTAAAGAAATAATATTGTAACCAGAGGAGGATTTTTAGGCTTTGGAGCAGAAGAGTTACATCACTGATATGAATTATTTTATATTTAATATAATCCAGAAAAGAGAATAATTTGAATGAGACTGAGATATTTGAATGAAAACTATGTTTATGCAATGGAGATGGATATCACCATTTGTCACCATCCATCAACACCACAGACTAATTGTATGAACAGTAAGAATCTTCTGATTTCAAATTCTATTCTTATTTTTATTTTTATCCATAGAGAAAATTCAAGGAGTATTTTTCTTTATTTGGAACTTCTATCTCTATTTATAAATTACTTAATTATATTAAGATTACTAGTTTTATATTAATTTTATTGTACCAGGAACTTTAGAATTTCTTTTGCTTGAGAAAATGAGCATCTATTTCTCCATCTGGGAATGTAAAACTGTGAATTCCACAATAAACTATAGTGACATATATACATTACTTTTTTCAGATCCTATGAATTTCAAGCCTCCTTCATCTCAAGCATTTATTATTGGTCACAGCTGCTGGAGTTTGATTCTGCTCTTGTAAGCTTTGCAAAATAGTCAATTCCAGTTGGCATAGTTTTAGTTGATGTCTTCTATTTCAAGACAAAGTAATTATGAAAAGGGGTGTATATTGGATCCAATTTAGGTGCCTCCCGAGATACACTCTATCTAATATGTCTTGTGGACATACTTTTAACACAGAGCTTCCATGCCCACTGTCACCACGTCTCCTGCCCACAGAAATTCTGGTCTAATTTTTGTCCAGGATTTTATAATAAAGATGACAGAACTGTAAAGATGGCTGAATATGCAACCTGACTAGGAATTTTTTGTTGAAGTCAGTATTCTGATAAGAAAAGAGTGGGGCTCTGAGATCTAGACAGACATAATTGTGCACGGCAGGGTGAAAACCATGAAATCACAAATTATCTTGCATCCTCCTTATTATTGTAAGTAGCTTCCTCTCCCTTGAAAGAGAGGAAAGAACAGTCTTCCTTAGCCTAGACACCATGCCATTATCTTGTTTGAAGAAGTTGTCATGCAATGGTATTTGCTTTCCTCGTGGGCTTCCTCCTACACCCCTTATTGCTTCCAACCAGCTAACCAGGGGAAAGCTGCAAGAAAGTCTAAGCAAGAATGTACATTCTTGCTCTAGGATAAAATGAAATGCATGAGAAATTGCAGGACTTTGCTGCTAAGTACAAATGTGAACCATGGGAGCACTTCATTATGGGAGACGTTAACGCGGATTGGCAAAATATAAATCTTGAATTGAGGTCTATCCAATGGGGCTTTTTCTGTAGACTCACATTATTGGAAATGGCTTGTCAAGTAAATATGTGGTTTGCTTTACTCACAGAACTATTTGTTATATCTGTGGGAAAGAACTACAATACGGAGTTCCTAAAAGTATAAAAGACCCAATAGTTGACTTTTTTTAATCTTAGGTATTGACAGCATCTTAAATATCTGTACTATTCTTTGGTGTGGAAGCTTAGGAGTGAATATGATTTGAACTTAATTCATATTTAGAAGACCCTAAAGTAAATTTCTTGAAGAAATTAATTCCCAAAGTTTCTAGGTGGGACATTTTTGAAGTGTGTCATCAGTATATCCATATTCAAGTGGAGATAAAACAAACTCAACTAAAAAATTGTGGGCTGACTAACATGACAATTCTGGATTAAACGTGGGTTATATTTATTTGTTTATTTATTTTTATCTTTTTTATCATTCTTAGAAATGTTTATTACAAGTCTTCTTAAAGACTTCTCTACATTCATTACAGAATGGTAAAACTTCCATTCACTGATATAGCAGTGTTCTCACTGCATTTTTTAAATTCTTCCTTTCCTAAAGGAATCATATTATAATATATAAATGTACCAACTTAACATATGCACCTTAAATTTACACCACGTTATATATTAGATATACTTCATCTAAAAAAAAAAAGCATAGGGTCTTTGTAAAAGGACTGTTGCGTAGATGAATCTTGACTCAAATTTTGGTGGAACTAAAGTAAGCTTGATGGGCAGTGGAAGGAATTATATGTAAAATTCCCTAAATAAAAATTTATTGACTTTAATCAGCCATAAGAAATGATGAAATTCAGCCATTTGTGACAACGTGGATGGACCTTGAAGGTATTATGCTGAGTGAAATATGTCAGAGGGAGAATGTCAAATTCCACATGATCACATTAATAAGTAGAAGATAAAAACAATGACAAACAATCGCATAGCATTGGAGATTGGATTGGTGGTTACCATGGGGGACGAGAGGGAGGGCACAAGGGGTAATTAGGCTCACATTTGAGGGGATGGAATATAATTAGTTTTCTGGTGGTGAACATGATGTAATCTACACAGAATTCAAAATATATTATGATGTACATCCACAAATAAATAAATAAGAAAAAATTTAGGTGTTAATCACTATAAACTTCCCTCTTACCAATACTTTTGGGACATCCTATAATTGCTGGTATGTTATGTTTTCACTTTAATTTGTCTTAGACATTTTCCAATTTCCCTTTGATTTCCTGTTTTGCTCAACGCTTATTCAAGAGTGTTTTATTTTAATTTCAATGAATTTGTGAATTCTTCTCTTTTCTCTTGCTATTGATTTCTTGTTTCACTCCACTGTGCTCAGAAAGGATATTTGGAATGATTTCAATCTTCTTAAGTTTGTTAAGACTTATTTCGTGCCCTAACATATGGTCTATCCTGAAGAAAATTCCGTGTGCTCTTTAAAAGAATATGACTATTGCTACTGTTGGTGGAATATTCTGGATGAGTCTAGTGGTACATCTCATCAATAGTGTTATTCTAGTCTGTTCTTTCCTTATTGATTTTCTGTTTAAGTGTTCTGTCCATTTTTGTAAGTGGGATATCAATATCTTCTATTGTTGTTGTATTCCTGTGTATTTATCCCTTCAGATCCATCAATATACATTTTATGTATTTTGATGCTCTGATTTTGGATGCATATATATTTATGTTTGTTATAATTTCCTATGGAAATGACTCTTTGTCATTTGTAATGACTTTCTTTGCCTCTTTTGCCTATTTTATATATGATAATAGTTTAGTCATCCTGCCATCTACTGGTTACCAATTACGTGGAATATCTTACTCTATCATTTCATTTTCAGTCTATGTGTGTTTTTAAATTTAAAATAGGTCTCCTGTAGATAGCATATAGTTAGATTTTTAAAAAATTTTTTAACAGAGTGGAGCTTCCTCAAACATTAAAAGTAGTACTACCATTTGATCCAGCAATTCCACTTCTTGATCTGTATCCCAAAAAATCAAAAATACTAATGTGAAAAGATATATGCACCTGCATGTTCATTGCAGCATTATTTACAATAGCCAAGTTATGGAAACTACCTAAGTGGTTGAATGGATAAAGAAGATATGGCATATATATACACACATGCAAATATACGCATATATATGCAAATTATCCATGATCAGTAACATCATTTAAGTTACTGCTTGCAATTATATAATAATATCTCAATTAAGGATTGTTTTCATACAGAAAACACAATCTTATGTATATTCATTAATGGTATTTATATACCATAGAAGAGTAAACTAAAAAACTTGGGGATATAAATATGTGGCTTAATAATATATACTTCTATTACATAATAAATTACATAAATAATTCACATAAAATATTTTAAATCATGGTGATATGGCAAATTTTACCTTGTGAATGTAACTTTTTAAAATAGACTTTATTTTTTGTGCAGTTTTAGGCTCACAGAAAAGTTTCACAAAAAATACAGAGAGTTCCCACATATCTTGTCTGTCCCCCTCAGTTTCCCCATTTACTGACATATAGCATCAGTTTGGTACATTTGTTACATTGGTAAACCAATATTGTTACACTTGTACTAAAGCTCATAGTTTACATTAGGGCTAACACTTTGTATTGTACAGTTTTATGGGGTTTGGGTTATGCAATATGTCATGTTTCCATCATTCCAGTATCATAAATATTTGTTCTCCTTCACTAAAAATGACTTGTGCTCCATCTATTCATCTCTTCTCCTCTCTCATTGAATCCCTAGCAATGACTGGTTTTTACAGTTCCCACAGTTTTGCCTTTTTCAGAAAGGAAATTTATAATTCATAACTGTCATGTAAATATTGCCATTTTGAAACATAAATATCCTTCTTAAGTTTATCTCATTCATTGTTTTTTTCCATTAATATTTTAAAATTCAGTAACATCAATTGATTACTCTCTCTACTTGTAGACCACGTTAATATTTGGGCCAGCTATGCTACAATTAATTCTCATGATTCAAAAGAAAACTTAATACCACCCCCAGCCCCGAAGAAAGAATCAAGTTGGGAGTATAAAGTAGATTTTACCAAAAGAATGCTATTCTGAGTACAAAACCAACAGTCACAGCCTTCCTAAGATCCAAGACCTACCTCAGGACGGTGCATAGTCTCACAGTTCGAGAAAGAGCTAAGTAAACGCAAGCTTAGAATCTGCAGTAAATGCTCAAGAACTGGAAAGAGGATTACTAGATTTTATCTTGTTCCTTGCAACATGGACTTTTTACAGTTACTTGAATCTGATACTTTCTGCTGAATCAGGAAGAACAATTAAGTTGAAAGTTGATGATCAAATGCGTCAAGACAGAAGTGTCTAATAAATGAAACCCTTTGGAAGAGGTAAAAGTAGCTAGGCTGTAGAGGTAAGCATGGGGTAGAGGTTAATCTAGAAGCAGAAAGCATCAGTACTCACCATTATGAAGAACAGCTAAAACACTAGATAAAAACCATAGGTGACACTGGGAAGGCAAAAGTCAGAGAAACAGCAGTGAACCACTAAAGCAATGGGCCTTCCATACCAGACTATACCTGGTGCTGTCACTTCCCCTTCATAAATTTGACTCGATACTAACTAGCTTATGGGCTCACATTTTTTATTTTCCTGAAGGAAGTAACTCTCGTGCCTCAAATTAGGATTGTAAAACTCCACAATAAGAATATCATATTCTCTATGAACTTTCAGGTCAATCCAAACTATTAAGAAAAATTTAAAACTCCCATTCTTCTTTTGGCATCTGAGATGGACTTCATGTTCCACAACTTTCTCATTGCATTTTTCACTTCTCCATTTCTCAGTGTACAAATCAGAAGCTTGAACAAAGGTTTTCCAATTGACAGGTGTCATCATGTCCATGCGGAAGGTGGTTGCAGGGTATGATTATATAAATATATAAGGACCAAAGAACACGATGACCACTATGATGTGGGAGATACAGGTGGAGAAAGCTTTTCTTATTCCTTCAGCACTGTTGTTTCTCAGAGAACACAAGATGATAACATAGGGGAACATCACCATGACAAAACTCACCATACAGATGGCCTCACTATTGGACACTAAGAGTAGATTTACCACGTAGGTGTCCATATAGGTAAGTTTCAACAAAGGCTGCAAGTTACAGAAATAGTGATCAATCACATTGGGACCACAAAAAGGTAAACTCAAGGTCATAAAAATCTGAGCTGAAGAACGTACACAGGACCCCACCCAGGCCACAGCCAGCAGTGAACCACAGACTTGATAACTCATCTTAGTTGTGTAGCACAGGGACTTACAGGTGGCTAAAGAGCAGTAAAAAGCCATGAGAATTAGGATAAATATCTCTAGGCTACCAAAGTAATTCATTAAAAACACATGGATCATGCACTCACTGAAACAGATAGTGGTCTTCTTCAAAAGGTCAGCCACAATCATTCTAGAGGATATGGACGTAGAGAAGCAGGTGTCAGATAAGGATAAGTGGAAAAGGAAGAAGTACGTTGGACTTCCATGTGCCTAGCTGGTCTAATAATCAGCAAGTTTTCTAACAATGTACCCAAATAGAAAATCAAGAAAATGACAAACTCTTTTCTTCCTTACAGGATCCTTAGTTTACCCAAGCAGAATGAACTCAATCACATTATTGTTCAGCTGAATGATTTCATGAATGAGAAGAAGGGATGAACGTGAACTAAATTGTGTGAAAAAAATAAAGGAATTAACGTAAGTTGTGCCATGAGATATTATGGGATAGTTAAAGCAAGTTAATTCTTGGTACTATGGGAAATCATGGAATATTTTAAGCAAAATTAAATACTCTTCATGAAGTACATTCTGACAGATTTCTCAACGTCACTTCCATACTTTGTTCCCAAATTTTTAATGACCAGTTCAGTGGGCACATTGAGTCTCAAATAAACTTGTGGATGTGATACTTTTCCTACAGTACTCTTCAAATACAACCCTTTTTTTTAACTTTGACATTATGTTGACTAATTTTGCCAATTTAATACATACAGAATTAAGAGCTAACCCTCATTTTATTATTTTCTTCAGTTTTC